GTTAAAACCAACCATACGAAACTGTAGTGTTGCGTTAGTGGGGGAGTAGACTGCTTTGCAGCCATTTCCGGAGTCGTCACGGCTGCAAAGCAGTCTAGTGGGGGAGTATATCAAGGTAGTTTTGGTTTTATCAACCGAGTTGATAAAGTAAACTGGCCACTGTAAAGAGTTTTTAAGCCGACGGTTTGAGTGTTAGCCCTTCGTCATGATCAGATCGAGCTCTCGGAATCAACGTTACGAATAATTTGACCCTTTACATCCTTACATCACAACGCATATTCTCCGTACTGTTCTCCATATATTTCCCGAGTTGCTGACAAGGAGAAGTTTCAGTTAAAAATCAAGAGCTTTTTAGTCGGTGATCATTTCCTTTATTCGCGTGAAAAAGTATATCTGTGGAAAATGTATTTCTAATTGCAAAAAAAAAAAAAAAAATTTTGACAAGGTTGCAGAACAATTGAAAATTTGTAAAGATAAGGACTCTTTGGAAACGCAATAAACTTTAAATGAACGGGCTACTTTTTTAACCGTCAGCCGTTAACGTTGATGACTAACTTGTGAGCAAGAAGTGCAAAATACTGTATACCTGAACCACATTTTATAATTTCAAAGTTCAGATGTCAAAGCAAATGCCGCCACACAGTTCTCAGCATAGATTAAAAACACAAAACCCAAAAGAAATACAAAAACTCAAAATTTTGGAAAAACGAATTGATCACACGTTGTCGTTTGACTGAAGTTTTTGAAGTAGCCGTAAAACTTTGTTTCCTCGGTTTGTGAACATTTCTCCAGCCAATTTTTTGTTGTTGTTGTTTATCTTGGAAAACTGCTATCGTTGAACATTACTCAGGGAGGAAAAGCGAAGCTTTTGATAAAGTCACAACCGTTCTTTCCAAAGCCCGCGAAAAGTCTGTCGACATTCCGATCATTCTTTGTTAGTGATAAATCTTTGTGACAGAAAGATGAAAGATGAGAGAAAACATATATTTGCATAAACTTCGCGTGTAATTAGTTTTCATAAATAGTTTTGTCATATTGGGCTCTACATGGATGTTAATATAGACCACTTTCTTAAATGGCTGCCGTATAAATATTCTTTTGTTTAAATTTAAATTAGCCCGACTGGCCTCGCTTGAGATAATGTATTCTTTTGAATTTTGTACTGGAGAAGGGCTAAATTAAATTTAAGGCTAATTTAAACAAAAGAATATTAAACCGGCAGCCATTTATGAAAGTGGTCTATGTTTTAAGCAATTCATATAAGACCTTCTTTCCATGATGTGATTTATTCAATACAGATAACCTTCTGGCGATGTGAAACGAATTTTCTAAACGAAATACCTCTTGAAAAACCTTTGGTAAGATTTCCCCACAACCCTATATTTCATGGTGCATTTCTTAGATGAAGCGTTCCTAAAGCTGTTTGTACAGCCAGGAACGCAACAATTATAGTGAGGCATTTCAGAATTACTTTGTAAATATGACTCGTCTGTCCCTTCAATCAATCCATAGATGCTTTGCGGTCCCAACTCGAACCCAATCCCTGACTCGTTTAGAACATGGTGAATGGGCGAAAACAGTAGACAACGGGGCTGTGCTGGAATCTTTACACCGGCCATTTGCTGAAATTGTTAATTTTTCATCCTCCTGACTCTTAAAACACTCAGAGTTGTTGAAGACGCTGGCTTGATGGTTTCTTATACGAGATACTTTCAACTGACCGACAAAAGCTGCCTTGTGACGTTTCTGTTATTAAAACTTATCAACTTAAACTAACGTGGGTTAGTCAGCCACGTGTACACTACGCGAGCCTATTTCGAACGCACTCACCTCGGCGTCACAGTTTATTTTCGTTTCCTTTTCATCCGTTTCTTATGCTTTTTATGGATACTTCCATCGACGAAGGGTATCTGTAAGGTTAAAATAAAAAGACAACGTTAGAACTCGACATAATAAAGAGCAAATCATAACCCTCCTCTCGCTTAAACATTTCTCATGTTCTCTAATTTAATACAAAATTTCATTTAAAATCTCAGCAAGACTTCAGTCTTCATCTGTTATGCAAGTTTCAACTCATGTCCATGTTTAGCAAGCTGCAGGCGGACTGTGGCATGTTACAGTCAATGGTTAAATGTGCCCTAAAACTGTTCTCTGCCTATTTTCTACGGTTCCGCCGGGTTAAGCGGGGAGATACGAGTGTGTCATCAGTGCTTGTGGAGAGCTTCTTCGAAACGTTTCCTCCATTGACTTAGAAATCTCCTAACTTCATTGAGTGAACCGTATGAGAACTTTAAAATCGAACGTGTACACCCTTACCGTATGCTCTGTTTTTCATGTCAGTCCGGCAGACGGTAGAAAGCACAAACGGCCCCACAGCCACTTTTAAATGCTAGACTTGATAAGCTGACGAGTTTCCTTGGACTTTTTACCTCACAAGTGATACAGTTCAGACCACGAGGAACCGTAAAATGCAAATGAGTGGAAAAAGTTTCCGCACGTGCAAATTCATCCTTGCAAATATTAACAACTTTGAAAACGAGGTTGGCGTAAGTTTGCGAAGCGAGGCTGAGCTTCCTGAAGTTAAACTAAAACTTGCTAAGGCTCTCATTGATAGTTTTTCATGTGACTAACTGCCAGGTTTGTGAAAACATCCAAGGACTAGATGACGCACACAACAAAGCCAAATTTGTTGAGAGTGGTTTGTACAGAGGCTGAGCAAAGAAGAGAAAAAATCACTTTCAAGATGAAAACTTTGCGATATTGCAGAAATGTAAAAAGTACTCAAAAGTACTTTAGGAAAGGAGGAAGCAAATGTAACCTATGTGAACAATAGAGTTAGCTCTACCGTTCTTTAGATATCTTAGTTTATTTTATTACCTAATTAATTATCTTAGTTTATTTTATTACCTAATTATCTTAGTTTATTTTATTACTTAGTTTATTTTATTACCCAATTATCCTTCTTTTTTTTTGTTTCTTTTTGCTTTTTGCATTAGTATCTATTTCTCGCATTTTACCACTACGCTGTTATACTATACCAGTTCTTCATGTTAAGCATTTATTTTTAGTATATTTATCATGAGTAATAATACTTTACTAGTTACTGGAAACCATCGTTACCACATTATGTATTCTTTTCTAGGAAGTATATTATATTAAGTAATTTATATTCTCGTTATATTAATATATAGTATCTGTATGCTTTTAGTTAACTGTAGACGTAGAATTTTATATATTCGAATGT